CTCTCTTCAGGTCATTGACCAGGTCCTGCCGTGTAGTTCTGGGCTGATCCCTCACCTTCCTCATGATCATTGATGCCCCACGAGGTGAGATCTTGCATGGAGCCCCAGACCGAGGGTGATTGACCATCATCTTGAACTTCTTCCATTTTCTAATAATTGCGCCAACAGTTGTTGCCTTCTCACCAAGCTGCTTGCCTATTGTCCTGTAGCCCATTCCAGCCTTGTGCAGGTCTACAATTTTATCCCTGATGTCCTTACACAGCTCTCTGGTCTTGGCCATTGTGGAGAGGTTGGAGTCTGTTTGATTGAGTGTGTGGACAGGTGTCTTTTATACAGGTAACGAGTTCAAACAGGTGCAGTTAATACAGGTAATGAGTGGAGAACAGGAGGGCTTCTTAAAGAAAAACTAACAGGTCTATGAGAGCCGGATTTCTTACTGGTTGGTAGGTGATCAAATACTTATGTCATGCAATAAAATGCAATTAATTACTTAAAAATCATACAATGTGATTTTCTGGATTTTTATTTTAGATTCCGTCTCTCACAGTTGAAGTGTACCTATGATAAAAATTACAGACCTCTACATGCTTTGTAAGTAGGAAAACCTGCAAAATCGGCAGTGTATCAAATACTTGTTCTCCCCACTGTATCTGCTGCCTTTGATACTGTGAACCATCAGATCCTCCTCTCCACCCTCTCTGAGTTGGGCATCTCCGGCGCTGCTCAATCTTGGATTGCGTCCTACCTGACAGGTCGCTCCTACCAGGTGGTGTGGCGAGAATCTGTATCCACGCCGCGTGCTCTCACCACTGGTGTCCCCCAGGGCTCAGTTCTAGGCCCTCTCCTATTCTCTCTATACACCAAGTCACTTGGCTCTGTCATATCCTCACATGGTCTCTCCTATCATTGCTATGCAGACAACACACAATTAATTTTCTTCTTTCCCCCTTCTGATAACCAGGGGGCGAATCGCATCACTGCATGTCTGGCAGACATATCAGTGTGGATGTCGGATCACCACCTCAAGCTGAACCTCGGCAAGACGGAGCTGCTCTTCCTCCCGGAGAAGGACTGCCTGCTCCATGATCTCGCATTCACAGTTGACAACTCCATTGTGTTCCTCTCCCAGAGTGCAAAGAACCTTGGCGTGACACTGGACAACACCCTCCACTAACATCAAAACGGTGGCCCGATCCTGCAGGTTCATGCTCTACAACATTCGTAGAGTACGACCCTACCTTACAAAGAAAGCGACACAGGTCCTAATTCAGGCACTTGTCATCTCCCGTCTGGATTACTGCAACTCGCTGTAGGCCGGGCTCCCTGCCTGTGCCGTTAAACTCCTACAACTTATCCAGAACGCTGCAGCCTGTCTGGTGTTCAACCTTCCCAAGTTCTCTCATGTCACCCCGCTCCTCCGCACACTCCACTGGCTTCCAGTTGAAGCTTGCATCTACTACAAAACCATGGTGCTTGCCTACGGAGCTGTGTGGGGAACTAACCATCCTTACCTTCAGTCTCTGATCAGACCCTACACCCAAACGAGGGCACTACGTTCATTCACCTCTGGCCTGTTAGCCCCCCTACCTCTACGGAAGCTCAGTTTCCGCTCATATCTGTCAAAACTATTCGCTGCTCTGGCACCCCAATGGTGGAACAAGCTCCCTCACGACCCCAGGACAGCGGAGTCACTGACCACCTTCCAGAGACACTTGAAACCCTACCTCTTTAAGGAATACCTGTCACGATCGTTGTAAGAAGCGGACCAAGGCGCAGCGTGATAAGCGTACATCTTTATTTCTTGTACACACAACGAACCAAAACAATAAACGATACGTGAAGTCCTAGGTTAAATACACAAACCTTCCCGGAACAAGATCCCACAAAACAAAAGTGCCAACAGGCTGCCTAAGTATGGTTCCCAATCAGAGACAACGCGCAACAGCTGCCTCTGATTGGGAACCACCCTGGCCAACATAGAAATATGTGAACTAGAACACAACATAGAAAATGACAGATAGAAAATCCTCACCCTGGCTCAACATATAAGAGTCCCCAGAGCCAGGGCGTGACAATACCTGGAATAGTATACAAGTAATCCTTCTACCCCCCCACTTACACAAACAAAAATAAATCAATAAAAACTGTGGAACAAACTAAAAAATTTAAAAAAAAATAGATAATAAGATAAAATAGAAAAACTGATGATAATAATAATAAATAAATAAATAAATAAAAAATATAAATAAGTTGAATGCACCTATTTTTGTAAGTCGCTCTGGATAAGAGTGTCTGCTAAATTACTTAAATGTACATGTAAAATATACAGTTGATGTCGGAGGTTTACATACAGGGACTGGGAAACTGGTCAGGGATGGCGCTAAATACAGGGAGATTCTTGAGGGAAACCTACTTCAGTCTTCCAGAGATTTGAGACTGGGACGCAGGTTCACTTTCCAGCAGGACAATGACCCTCAGCATACTGCTAAAGCAACACTCGGGTGGAAGTGATGCAGACAATTACATTGATAGAAGTTACAATCTATCTGCAATATTAAGCTGATCTACCATCAGAGAAAAAAAAACACTTGAGTGGTTTATGGGGAAACATTTAAATGTCTTGGAATGGCCTAGTCAAAGCACAGACCTCAATCCAACTGAGAATATGTGGTATGACTTAAAGATTGCTGTACACCAGCGGAACCCATCCAACTTGAAGGAGATGGAGCAGTTCTGCCTTGAAGAATGGACAATACCCCAAGAGACTTGCAGCTGTTATTGCTGAAAAAGGTGGCTCTACAAAGTATTGACTTTCGGGGGGTGAATAGTTATTTGTTTCACAATAAAAAATAATTTGCATCTTCAAAGTGGTAGGCATGTTGTGTAAATCAAATGACACAAACCCCCCAAAATCAATTTGAATTCCAGGTTGTAAGGCAACAAAATAGGAAAAAATGCCAAGGGGGGTGAATACTTTTGCAAGCCACAGTACATACAGTTGAAGTCGGATGTTTACATACACCTTAGCCAAATACATTTAAACTCAGTTTTTACACAATTCCTGACATTTAGTCCTAGTAAAAATTCCCTGTCTTAGGTCAGTTAGAATCACCACTTAATTTTAAGAATGTGAAATGTCAGAATAATAGTAGAGAGAATTATTTATTTCAGTTTTCATTTCTTTCATCACATTCCCAGTGGGTCAGAAGTTTACGTACACTCAATTCGAATTTGGTAGCATTGCATTTAAAATGTTTAACTTGGGTCAAACGTTTCGGGTAATCTTCCACAAGCTTCCCACAATAAGTTGGGTGAATTTTGGCCCATTCCTCCTTACAGAGCTGGTGTAACTGAGTCACGTTTGTAGGCCTCCTTGCTCGCACACGCTTTTTCAGATCTGCCCACAAATGTTCTATAGGATTGAGGTCAGGGCTTTGTGATGGCCACTCCAATACCTTGACTTTGTTGTCCTTAAGCCATTTTGCCCCAACTTTGGAAGTATGCTTGGGGTCATTGTCCATTTGGAAGACCCATTTGCGACCAAGCTTTAACTTCCTGACTGATGTCTTGAGATGTTGCTTCAATATATCCACCTAATTTTCCTTCCTCATGATGCCATCTATTTTGTGAAGTGCACCAGTCCCTCCTGCAGCAAAGCACCCCCACAGCATGATGATGCCACCCCCGTGCTTCACTGTTGGGATGTTGTTCTTCGGCTTGCAAGCCATCCCCTTTTTCCTCCAAACAAACGATGGTCATTATGGCCAAACAGTTCTATTTTTGTTTCATCAGACCAGAGGACATTTCTCAAAAAAGTACGATTTTTGTCCCCATGTGCAGTTGCAAACCGTAGTCTGGCTTTTTTATGGCGGTTTTGGAGCAGTGGCTTCTTCCTTGCTGAGAGGACTTTCAGATTATGTCGATATAGGACTCGTTTTACTGTGGATATAGATACTTTTGTACTTGTTTCCTCCAGCATCTTCACAAGGTCCTTTGTTGTTGTTCTGGGATTGATTTGCACTTTTCGCACCAAAGTACGTTCATATCTAGGAGACAGAACGCGTCTCCTTCCTGAGCGGTATGACAGCTACGTGGTCCCATGGTGTTTATACTTGCGTACTATTGTTTGTACAGAGGAACGTGGTACCTTCAGGCGTTTGGAAATTGCTCCAAAGGATGAACCAGACTTGTGGAGGTCTACAATTGTTTTTCTGAGGTCTTGGCTGATTTCTTTTGATTTTCCCATGATGTCAAGCAAAGAGGCACTGCGTTTGAAGGTAGGCCTTGAAATACATCCACAGGTACACCTCCAATTGACTCAAATTATATCAATTAGCATATCAGAAGCTTCTAAAGCCATGACATCATTTTTTTGAATTTTACAGAGTGGTTGAAAAATGAGTTTTAATGACTCCAACCTAAGTGTATGTAAACTTCCGACTTCAACTGTACATACGATGTGGGCAAGTTAGTAGTTGGTTTGGACCTATGGTTCCTGTGCTTTCCCTTGCTCTGAAGATGTAGCAAGCCATTACAAATGCTCTCTCGAATCTCGTCCTCTGTTTCTTTCCGTGAAAAGCAATCACCTGTTACTATTAACAATAGCAGATTGGAGTTACAAAACATGGAGTTTGCAGATTGCTGCTACATTACATGCCGTTACAAAATATATTTGAGCAACATCAGGCATAGACATTATAGGCATAGACATTATATGTCATTATATTGTGGTGCATGGTGCAGTGAAAGACGAAGGTGTGTGTTTATTGTTCAACATTCCACACCTGCGTGAAGCAGCTCTTGGCCAGTGTGATGAGGCCCTGGTCTCCGGGGGAACACACTCAGTCCCACAGGAAGCAGTCTCTTCAGGGAGGCTACGATGAGAGAGGTGTTTGTGGAGTAGCGGTCCCCCTTCCTCTTCATAAGAATACATAGTGGTGGTTGAAATATACTTCAATCCTTCACTTGTGATTGTTATTATTGACCAAGAAGGCCATGTTTTAGATCTCATTCTGAAACACATAGTTATGTTTCTTCCATTTGAAGTTCTGCAGTAGCAAATCAAACGAGTTACAGGTGAGAACATCTCACGTGAGACTTAGCCCAAAATATGAAGATCTCTGCCATCATGCCGAACAACCTTTCAGCCTCATGGTTCAGTTCCCGCAGCCAACTTGTTCTGAAACAACATGAGAGCTGTAATCAAAATGCATGAACACATTATAATATTGTCAGAATCTCAGGTGTAAAAATCATTAGAAATCGCCACTATTCATGCTGTCAAAATATAATCTTTAAATGTTTGTAGTCATTGGTGGCATGTTGATTCATTACTGGTTTTCTATGTATTCAATAACATAATGTTCCTTCCCACATACCCAGCCCCTGGACAGCACCCCTCACCTATTGTAGTCCACAAATGGGATGAGGAGAGGGTAAAAGGTCTTGCACCAGCACAATTAATTTCTCCTGAATCAGTAGCACCGCCTAGGACGCATCACTCCGCCCATCGGCCTTCATCTGCTCCTCCTCCTGTAGCACAGACTCCACCCTCTTCTTCAGCTTCTCCATCAGAGGCAGCAAGTGGTTCCTCAGCAGCTGGGGGTGGGCCTGGCAGATGATTGGCTGAGAGAAAACTGAAGAGAAGGATTACAATTAATTTAGTCATTAAGCAGACGCTTTTATTCAGAGAAACTGACAATTAGTGCTTTTGAATGAGATAACTGATGGATACAATCATGCCATGAGTGGAAGTAAAGTCTAGATGAAACAACTGGGAAATTAGGCCTGAAAGTGATTGAATTAACACTGTTTCATGGTGCCACAGACAACGAGTAATAGTGAGTGATTGAGGCTATGAGGCAAACATGCAAGTTGGCATAAGAAGACTACTGGATCCTGTGTAGGGCTGTGATGGCAACTAATATATCAGTCTGAGGGTGAACAGTAGATGCAGATGGGAAAGACAGAGCAGTATAGGGCTACCTGCCAGGCACTTCATCCAGTCTCCCTGGCCTGTTCCCAGGTGGTTGTGGATGATGCGGAGGACGTTGCCCAGCTGTATGCTGGTGTGCTGGGAGGTGAGAGGTGCAGACCGTGCTCTCCAGCTGGCCCTCAGGGCCGTGCTGCCACCAGAGGGACATGTAGCTGCAGAGCAAGGGCAGGTGACCTCTGTGACATTGCTGTACTGGGCCTGGCACACCCCTTGCCAGCTCCTCCACCTCCCCCAGAAGCTGCTGCAGAGAGGGAAAGAGAGGACACACCTCCTCCACCTCATCTGGAACTCCCACATCTGAAACAGAGGAGAAGGGACAGCTAAAAATGCCTCAGCTAACTAAATAGAGTTAATGAAAAATACAAAATAGACACACAACCAATGTGTGCAGTGAAGCACAGTGTGTAGTGTGTGAGACTGTAGTAGGTGTGTGTATGGTTACCCTCTTTCTCTATGGGGCTCATGGTGTTGTAGATGGAGTAAGGGTTGTCCTCATTCAGAGCTGGCTCTAGGAAACACACAGGGGAAGCCCTGATGGCGCAGCCAGACACGCTCCTGCTGCCGGTCTCTGCCTGTAAGTTCACACACACAGATGGCTGACAGTTCTGCACAGAACTGTCTGCCACATACTACACCACTACTACTGCCACACAGGGGACATGTGCAGAGCCATCAGACACCACTGAGAGAGAGGCATATTAATCTACGGAGTCATGAATACTTTATGATTTTATGAATCTGACACATACTGTAATGTTCAAATCAAATGAAAGAAAATTGTCACATGCGCCAAATACAACAGGTGTAGACTTTAACAGGAAATGCTTACGAGCCCTTTCCCTACAATGCAGAGTTAAAAAGTAAGAAAAGATTAGCAAAAATAAAGGAAAAAATTAAGGAAATAGTAACACAATAAAATAACAATAACAAGGCTATATACAAGGAGTACTGGTACCGAGTCACTTTGCAGGGGTACGAGGTAGTTGAGGTAATATGTACATGTAGGTATGGGTTAAAGTGACTAGGCAATCAGTATAGATAATAAACAGAGTAACAGCAGCGTATGTGAAGAGTGTGAAATTGTGTTTTGTGTGTGTGTATGTGTGTGTTGGAGTATCAGTGTAGTATGTGTGAGTGTGTGAGTAGAGTCCAGTGAGTGTGCATAGAGCTAGTGCAAGAATGTCAGTGCAAAAAAATGTAATGCAAATAGTCCAGGCAGCCATTTGATTAACTGTTTAGCAGTCTTATGGCTTGGGGGTAGACGCTGTTCAGGAGCCGATTGGTCCCAGACTTGGCGCTCCGGTACCGCTTGCCGTGCGGTAGCAGAGAGAACAGTGTATGACTTGGGTGGCTGGATACTTTAACCATTTTCAGGGCCTTCCTCTGACACTGCCTGGTATAGAGGTCATGGATGGCAGGGAGCTTGGCCCCTGTGATGTACTGGGCCGTACGCACTACCCTCTGTAGCGCCTTACAGTAGGTATGGTGTTCTTTGGATGCAACTCAGCATTCTTTGTCCTCCAAACACGACGAGTTGAGTTTTTACCAAAAAGTTATATTTTGGTTTCATCTGACCATATGACATTCTCCCAATCCTCTTCTGGATCATCCAAATGCACTCTAGCAAACTTCAGACGGGCCTGGACATGTACTGGCTTAAGCAGGGGGACACGTCTGGCACTGCAGGATTTGAGTCCCTGGCGGCGTAGTTTGTTGCTGATGGTAGGCTTTGTTACTTTGGTCCCAGCTCTCTGCAGGTCATTCACTAGGTCCCCCCGTGTGGTTCTGGGATTTTTGCTCACCGTTCTTGTGATCATTTTGACCCCACGGGGTGAGATCTTGCGTGGAGCCCCAGATCGAGGGAGATTATCAGTGGTCTTGTATGTCTTCCATTTCCTAATAATTGCTCCCACAGTTGATTTCTTCAAACCAAGCTGCTTACCTATTGCATATTCAGTCTTCCCAGCCTGGTGCAGGTCTACAATTTTGTTTCTGGTGTCCTTTGACAGCTCTTTGGTCTTGGCCATAGTGGAGTTTGGAGTGTGACTGTTTGAGGTTGTGGACAGGTGTCTTTTATACTGATAACAAGTTCAAACAGGTGCCATTAATACAGGTAACGAGTGGAGGACAGAGGAGCCTCTTAAAGAAGAAGTTACAGGTCTGTGAGAGCCAGAAATCTTGCTTGTTTGTAGGTGACCAAATACTTATTTTCCACCATAATTTGCAAATAAATTCATAAAAAATCCTACAATGTGATTTTCTGGAGAAAAAGAATCTCAATTTGTCTGTCATAGTTGACGTGTACCTATGATGAAAATTACAGGCCTCTTTTTAAGTGGGAGAACTTGCAGAATTGGTGGCTGACTAAATACTTGTTTTCCCCACTGTACAGTAGGCAGTAGGCAGAGATGGTGAAACAAGGATCTTTACTGGTGGTCCCGAAGCCAGAATACAAAATAACGGACTTATCATGATAAAAGAAAGGCAGAGCAAATAAGTCTCCAAAAACCGTCTGACAGCCAAAATACAAAATACTACCTACAACTGAAACAAATAACGAAACAGGGAGAAAACTTCTCAAGTACTTGTACATAGGTCTCCAATCAGACACTGAGTAGTACTGCTGGACATAGAGAAACTAACAGAGAAAACTGAGCAAGGTAACACAGGGAAGTGAGGGCATAAATACACAGGTGAACAGGTAGACACAGGTGACACCAATAGGATACTGATTAGTCCAGACTGTGAGTGAGGAGGTGCCTAAGGTTGTTGGAGGATGACACCTAGTGGGTCGCTCCGGAACTGCAACCCATTCCTGTAACACACCAGCTGTTGTTAACAAAGAGAGACACACACCCTCCTCTGAGCTTCCCCGACGCTGCCTTTCTGTCCTGCCGATGTATAGATAAATCAACTAGATTAATATTTTCCATCTCCTCGTTCAGCCACAACTCAGAGAATCATAGGATATTACAGTTCTTTAGATCACGTTGATAGGATAGTCTCGAACGGAGCTCGTCCAGTTTATTCTCCAGTGATTGTAAGTTCGCAAATAGAACAGAGGGTAGAGGGGGTTTATCCACTCTCTGACGTTGGCTCGTCAGGTATCTTGCACGCAGGCCTCTATAGTGCCATGCCCTCCTTCTCCTAGAGTCGGGGATTTGGGCCAGGTTTAGGAAAATCAATATGTCGTTCGCCTCCGACTCATTGAAGTTGAAGTCCTCATCCAAATCAAAGTAAGTGATAGCTGTTCTGATGTCCAGAAGCAAAAAAGTTAAGATCATCACCAAATATGACAAAATAGCACAATTGGTCAGGATCCTGTAAAAGGGTTACTATTCCCTCCAGCGCCATTATGTTACACAAAGCTAAATGACTAAAGGTATCCCTCCACATAGAAGCTTTTGCTGGTGCCAAGTGAGTGGAGGCTGTTGAGGATTGTATAACAGGACACCTGGACACTGTCCACTGTAAAGGAGAAGGTGAGACTTACAGTGCATTCGGAAAGTATTCAGTCCCCTTGACTTTTTCCACATTTTGTTACGTTACGGCCTTATTCTAAAACTGATTAAATAAATACAAATCTCATCAATCTACACACAATACCCCATAATGACAAAGCGAAAACAGGTTTTTATACATTTTTGCAAATGTATTACAAATAAAAAACAGAAATAAATTATTTACTAAAGTATTCAGACCCTTTTTTTTTTTTTTTTTTTCGGGGGGAATGGATCAGCTTAATATTGCAGATAGATTGTATCTTCTATCAATGTAATTGTCTGCATCACTTCCAATCCCCCATGTTTTAATTTTTTTATATTTTTATATATATATACTCCCCTTTATTACTTTTCAACCCCACCATCCTTTCCCTATTTGGAGTAAATTAGTGGACAACAATGCCCAGGCCTCTACTTCCGGTCTATACTTACTATCTACACCTTATGGACAGAGTTAATTTTACAATATATATATATATTTTTTTGCTCCTGAATTTTCTACTCTCAACCTCTCCGATCATTTTCATGATGTCCATCCGGTTTGCTTCTATATGCCATATCTTTCTAACTGTGCTCTTTCCCAAAAGCTCCCAACATACAACCTATATACATATTATGGACACAGTATGTTTACATTATTAGCTATCTTTGTTATTATTTGTTGTTATTTGTTATTAGTCCCATCCTTCAACTCTATGCAATACCTCCCATCTATCTCTTAACACCATCCATATAGGATTTCTATTTGCCATATATATTTCAACCGTACTGTGATGTTTTACAAAAGTTCTGAACCTTTCTATTCTCATTGCTTCTACAGATTGTGAATTGAAAATAAACATTTTTGCTAAAAGTATTATTATATTATTGATTGATTGACTATGACTTTTCAGATCACCCAGTAATGCTATCTGCAAGGTTAGTTCCAGGTAAATATTGCAATCCTTTAGCCATTCCTGGACCTGTGTCCAAAAACAAGCTACAAATGGACAGAACCAAAACAAATGATCTAATGATTCTGTCTCTTCACAGCAAAATCTGCAGAGCTGGGAAGATTGTATCCCCCATATAAATAACATTCTATTGGTAGCAAAAATGTTATATAATAATTTAATTTGAAAGATTCAAATTTTTGAATCCGGTGTCGTTTTGCGTGTCAGTTCATAAACACTATGCCATGGGATCGGTACGTCAAAGATCTCTTCCCAACTATTTTGCAATCTATATGGGACGGCTGTCAATCCTTTGGTCCTTATCAAAGACCTATCATTTTACAGCGGTACAATGCCGACATCTAGTGGTCATACAACATACAGGGTGAACGAAAACACATGCAAACACAACGCATAACCGCCAGGGGGGCTTCACCGGCTTGTGGACTGTGCTTCACCGGCTTGTGGACTGTGTGAGTTTGGGTATGCGATTTAAAAACACCCCCCTATTGGACCACATTCCGTGGACTGTACCGCTGTACTGTTTGAGTATGGATGATAAGTGAAACTGATATACTTTTTTATTTATCACAGTTTTCCTTAACCAATTATGTTCTTTAATGCAAGGCCGACAGACAAGGTCCTTACTTTCTCCCCCTTCCACTTTCCTCTTCCACTTTTGCGGTAAGGCTGCAATTATTTGGTTGTAATTTTGGGTAGAGCAGACATTTCCATATGTTTTTGTTAGCTGCATGTGCGACATAACTCCACCAGTCCTACCGATGATATCATTTACGAAGATTATACCTTTTTTAAACATTCTGTCAAAAAATAAAGTTTTTTTGTCAATTAGTATATTTGAATTTCACCACAATATTTGTTGCATTATTTGTTCTGTCATTTCTGGAGGATTATATTGAAATTGCAACCAACTTTCTATGGCTTGTTTTAGAAATAGTGACATTTGGGAGATTATTTCCTTTTCAAATAACTGAAAGCGAGAGGTTGTAATCTGAATAAAGGGAAAAAGGCCTTTCTTGAACATTGGGTGAGACAATCTTACTAATTTGCTTGAGAACCAGTTTGGATTGAAGTATAACTTTTGTATGACTGAAGCTTTTAGTGATAGGTCTAATG